TGTTTGAGGTGGGGTGGGGGTGCGGTGGGGTGGAGGGGTAGTAGATTGGTGGTAACTGGAAAAACTGAAATTTAAAAAAAAAGCCTGTTTTTTGAAAGTTGGGGTGGGGTGGGTTGGTGAGGGTAGGGAAAAGTTGAAAAGAAGTTTTGAAAATGTTTTCCGCTTCTCTTTTAAAGGAAAAAAAAATGAGTTCATAGGAAAATATTTTCCAAAACATTTAAGCAACCAACATGAGAAAAATTGAAAAACTTTTCGGAAAATATTTCCTTCGTACCAAACACAACCAAAAACAACAATTTTATTACATGAAGAGTCATGCCACAACATATTGGTCTACATAAGGTCATAAGTGGAAAAGAATTATAATTTACTAAAAAAAAAAAATCATTCCAAAAAGTATCCACAACTATAGAAAGACATTCTCTAAAGTCTTTTCCATAATATTGCTGCTGAAAAGAAACCTTATACAAGAACCGAACAAGTGCGTAACCAATTTTAGCACTTCATTTCACTTTTTTATTTCTTTTTGTTATGTCGTTTTTTCCTCTTGGAAATTCGACAGTTACTTTTCTTGGAGGATTCATCTCAGTCTCCTTTTCTTTCCACCATTTTCTAGGTTTCTTTATGCTTGAAGCCCTGAAAGCTTTTTTACTACATGATTTCTTCACATAGACCATGGTATAACTTAACAGCACCAGCCACTCATCTTCAACCTTCACTTGGTGGGCGACATCAATAAATATTTTGATGTTTTCATTGTGGGTCAAAATACCTTCATATTCCTGACTATGAAAAGAAGCTAATCACTGCCTGAACCAACTGCTTATTCAGAAAGAACTTGAATCAATATTTCTTAGTTGAGCAATACTTCAAACATCACCCTTTGGTGTTGCTCGACATTATGAATCATTCTGCAGTCCGCCGTACGTGTCAAACTTGATTGTTAATTGTCATAGGGAGCCACAACTTATAATACTATGTTTCTCTCATAAGTAATGCCCATTCTGGCATGAGCAGTAGTAATATTATTTACTCATTGTTGACCTCAATAAACATAATATTTACAATTATTTTATGTGCAATTGAATCTGTATTTTCCAGTAGAATATTATCACCATTCCGTTGTTGAGATCATAAATATAATAACTTACAATTATTTTATTGCTATGAAATCTTTATTTTCTCGCAAATTGTGAGTATCGTAGATCTTCTCTTATATTACCCTCATTTAGTTGACACATCACGCCGTTTTATACCTTTAAGAGCATTTTTGCTCTTTCAATAACATTCAATATTTAACGAACTCGATTTATCAATAATTCTTTGTCGTTCAACTTATCAACCCTTTATTCGATCGGCAACTATCATATAGAAAATTCGGAACAAAAAAACACCACAAAAAGCGATCAGTGTTGGTCCGCATTATTGGCCAAAACAGCGACCAAAAAGCGACCAAACATGCCTGGTCGATATTAAGAGCTGGTCCCTTTACCTTAGGAACCAAAGTTGATCGCTTAATTAGCAACCAATTTGTCTCCTACAAAGTCAAAGGACCAAATATTTCCGGTAAAGACACTGGCGACCAAACTTTGGTCCGCTATAGTTTTTAATATTATAAATTTTGCGACCCAAAAGTTTGGTCTCCTTTTTGTAAAATTTCATTTTTTTATTTATTATTAATGTATGAAGTAGCGACCTACTTTGGTCTGTATATGAAATATTATATTTTAAAATCGGAAAATGGGACCAAGGTTGGTCGTTATACTATAAATTTTTAATATTTTTTTAAATAAGCGACCAACTTGGTCGCTAAATTACAATGAATTAATTTTTTTATTTATTAATAAGCGACCAATCTCTGGTCGCCATAATTTCCAAGAAATTGGTTTAATTTTTTCTGGTAAAATAGCGACCAATCTTGGTCGCTACTTAAGGTTCTAAAAATCCAAAAGTGAGACTCTAGATCTGAAAAATCCGAAGCTAAAAAATGGAAAGAAGAATTTGAATTTCCAATGAAGATTTGAAGAAGAATTGATTTCAAAGATCGATTTTCTTCTCTTTCTGGGTTTATAAAAGCTGTTTCGGAGCCATGGATGTGCTTCGTTGATTCTGCCGCTGCTGTTTGGCTTCATTTCTTCGACATTTGGACCTTTATAGGTCTAGTTTGTCGTTTGCTGCTGTAGCCGTATTGAGCTCTGTTTAGGTTTTGGGATTTCGTTTTTTTTTCTCGGCCAATCTCTTAGTGATTTCACTGGTCAGCTAGGTCAGTTCTCGAATCCTTTGTATTATGCTTTGTTGAATGATTCACAACTGGTTGAATTTCCTCTTAACTATTTCATGTTTGCTGAAGTTATGATTTCTGTTGCTTCAATGGGCTTTGAATGTGTGTTTGGATTTTAATTTGGGTGGAATAACGAAGTGGCTTGGAAATGAATGATCAAAAGGGCACAGATAACATTTTGGGTGATTCGCATTGCTGTTACAATAGTTTGTGGAAGATGAATTTCAAACAAATGATACACATTGATTGGTTGGACGATTCTAGAACTTTTGATATGCTTCTGTTATAAAATGGGCTCTATAAGATTTAAGTTAGCTAAAGAAGTTATGTACTTAAAGGTGAAAAGCATTATGCCAAGTGTTTCATATTGTTTTAGATCTGATTTTAACTATTTATTTACCTGAGAATTTTAACTTCATCTGCGGTAATGGGCAACCGTTTCCATGGATTATTAGTGTGTTTAAATGACTGATTCTTAAAAGTGTCCCTAAAATCTATAGTGCTAGGTTACAGATTATCATGATATTATGTTTGTAGTATCTTTGGCATCTCTTTTAGTAATATTAAGTTACATTAATTTTAGTGTTAGTTATCATGTGTTTGAGTGCATTTGTTGTGACGTGTTTGAGATTTGCTTAGCTAATTTTATTTTAGGAAATATTTGATTATTTTGGATTAATTTGAGGCTTACTTACCCCTACCACGTTGATTTTCATAAATTCTTGGCCTTACAATAATCTCAGAATTAGTTTTTTAAAAAATGAATATCATAGCTTGCTTGAGGTGTGCCATGCCAAATCAAAAATCACAAATCGCGTGGCCCTCTTTAATTACTTCCATTAAAATATTTAGAACTCGGGACGTGCCATTTAGCGAATTTCCATGGCCTCCCGCAAAGTTAACAACGCGTTAGTTGCTTTAGGCGCGCCTTTTAATAATATTACCTTCTTAAACTCGGGTGTGCATTTCATGTGACCCAAATCCAAATCCCAAAACGTTGAATAAAATGTGTTTCAGATTGCGGGTGCATTTCATGTGACGCGATCCAAAGACACGTTTTAAACGACGTTCAATTTCTTAAAAATTAATTAAAAGCGGTAGATAATTTTAAAATTGCATTATAGGATGACATGTATAAAAAATCAGATTTTTAGCCAATTATAATAGTTCAAGCGACCGTGTTAGAACCACGGGATCCGGGGGTGCCTAACACCTTCCCTCGGGTCAACAGAATTCCTTATTCAGAATTTTTGGTTCGCAGACTCCATTCGGGAAGTCGAAATTTCCTCGATTTGGGATTCAAGATAAACCGGTGACTTGGGACACCAAAAGCCAAACTTATCCCAAGTGGCGACTCTGAAAAATCAAATAAATAATCCCATTTCGAATAATGTCACTTTAAATGGAAAAACTCCCTTATACATTTATCCTTCGGGGTAGGTATGTAAAAAAGGAGGTGTTACAACAATTATAACGAACAAAGTATAAAGTTCAATAGAACTTTATACTTTAAGCTAATTAGCAAACTAATAAGTTAAATGTTATTACAGAACCATTCGAAAACCAATTGTATTTGTCTAGCATAAACTTATAAGTTCAAAGATTGTTCTCTACATCATTATCATCACCGTCTGATGAACTTTCTTCACCATGACGGTATCTAGAATGGGCTATTTGTCAATGATGGGAAGAATGACCACGGGGAGGACGGGGGAATGAGCACGGGGAAGGCAAGCCTCTGGCGATGACTCACGAGACCGGGGAATTGGAAAATTGCCAGAAGCTAGGAGAGTTTTGATCTGCTCTTGCATGCCCTTGCACTGAGCTTGCATGCTAGAGTACTGCATATCTCTAAGCCTTTATCTCTCCTTGGCGGCTTCTAGCTCGGATGTGAGCTTTGCCACAGTCTCCCGCATAGAGGAGAGGCTCTCCCCATCAAGTTGCTCGGCTTGGGAGGAAGTCCCTATTCCTTGCATTCCACACTTATAGCGATGGAATTTCTTATAGGAAGCTCGTATACCTTCCCCCCTTTTGGACCGTCAGCAGCCTGCGTCCACATTCTCTCAGCATCCTCGTCTAATAGTTGGATTGGTGCGCCGGACTCATTAGGTGGCTGACTGCGTATGAATTGCTCCACTTCAGCTGTGAAGCGACCCTATAAGAAAAATAATATGTGAATTAATATTTCCAAATTTGTATAAAAGTAAATCAAAATTCTTAATGAAAAGTGAAAACTTACATGTACAGTCGAGGCTCGACCCTCGACCCACCTTTCTTGGTCCGTCTCTTTCTTCTTCTTCACAATCTGAGTCTCCTTGAAGAGCTCATCTTGGTTCATCGGA